GTAATGAGGTCAATGACTGTGGGAAAGGGAAGAGGTATGGTAGCATGAGGCGGCTCAGTGCAACAGTGGCAGGGGAGGAGTAGCGTGCAACTACAGCGTCGTACAAGGTCTGAGCACTCTTGTACTGGCTAAAGTGCGCACGCTCAGAGGTAGGCAGGTGGCGACGCACAGCAAGACGTGCAGCAGCATCGCGAGTGGCCCACTGTGAGCGAACAGTGGCGTCAGTATAAGCAGCGGGGGCAGGAGAGGCACCAGAAGTGAGGTCAAAGAGGGAGAGGCCGTCTGCCCTATCGCACTGTAAGAAAAGGTGCAGGTCATCTCTCCAGACATCAAAGTCAATGGCCCGACCCTCAGCGTCAAAAGCGAGGACACTAGGGGTAGCCATGACAGAAGTAGACTAGCAGCGCAAACAGTAGGGTGAGGGCAGTGCTGTGAAAGAGACGCTGCTCTTACCGGACAGGGCGGCTCGGGCGGCTCGGCTGCAGGGCGACTCGGCGGCTCGGCGGCTGGGCGGCTCGGCGGCTCGGCTGCAGGGCGACTCGGCGGCTCGGCAGCTGGGCGGCTTGGCGGCTCGGCTGCTGGGCGGCTCGGCGGCTCTGCTGCTCGGCTGCTGGGCGGCTCGGCTGCTGGGCGACTTGGCGGCAGGGCAGCTCGGTTGCTGGGTGGCAGGGCAGCTCGGATGCTGGGCGGCTCGGCTGCTGGGCGGCTCGACTGCCGGGCGGCTCAGCAGGGCCGCTGAGAGGGCGGCGTCCGGGGCCGCTGGGAGGAGGCGGCGCCAGCAGGTAGGTGGCGGGGCCGTACAGGTAGGTGGCGGGGCCGCGAGTAGGTGGCGGGGCCGTCAGTAGGTGGCGGGGCCGCAAGTAGGTGACGGGGCCGCTGGTAGGTGGCGGGGCCGCAGGTAGGTGGCGGGGCTAGTAGGTAGGTGGCGGGGCCGCACAGGTAGGTGGCGGAGCCGCGAGTAGGTGGCGGGGCCGTCAGTAGGTGGCGGGGCCGCAGGTAGGTGACGGGGCCGCTGGTAGGTGGCGGGGCCGCAGGTAGGTGGCGGGGCCAGTAGGTAGGTGGTGGGGCGGCACAGGTAGGTGGCGGGGCCGCGAGTAGGTGGCGGGGCCGCAAGTAGGTGACGGGGCCGCGAGTAGGTGGCGGGGCCGTCAGTAGCGGCGGGGCCGTAGGTAGGTGGCGGGGCCTACAGGTAAGTGGCGGGGCCGTCACGGAAGGCGCCGGTAAGGGCGGCGTCAGGGCCGCAGGGCGGCGCGAGGGCCGCGGGGTGGGCGACGAGGCCGAAGGGCGGCGGATCGGGGCCGGTAAAGGGCGGCGCGATGGCCGCGGGGTAGGCGACGAGGCCGCCGGGCGGTGGGGCGGGGCCGCGACAGAGGCGGCGCGACGGGGCCGCGAAAGGGGGGGGGGGGGGGGGGGGGGCGCGACGCGGCCGCGAAGGGCGGCGCGACGGGCCGCGACAGGGCCGCTAAGGGCGACGGGACGGGGCCGTAAGGGGCCTAGCGAGAGCGCGATGGTAGGGAGAGCACACGGGGCGCGACTCGGGCCTGAGCGGAGCGCGCTCCGGGCAGGAAAAAAAAAATTCGTAGTGGTGGGCCCTAGGAATCGTTCCCGTTAGGGAACCTGCTCGATACCATGAGAAGAAACGAGAATGGATGAACTATGAATGAATTGGGTACAAGTACTAACCCTAATTGGGTTGTACCCCTTATGGGCTACCCCACTATAACCTACACAATATGCATAAGCTACAATGTTCTGACAGGGGCCTCCACCCAGAGAGCCCCGCCTTCCACATCGACATCGTCCCTCTCCCGATCCGCCAAATCTACGTTAATCCCCCCCATGGAAGACGCCGCTCGAAGCAGGATGACACGGGCTTGCGCACGTTGTAACGCCACCCCGATGAGCGCCTTAAGTGACCCTAAAAGATAAGCCGAAAACACAGAGTCGTCCTCTCGACAAGCCCCCCGCGACACAGCTAGCCCCACGTGCGCATCCCCCTGCTGACGAAGCCACCGCTGAAAACGACCGCCGAGACACCCCCACGTCTCAACTATCGAAGGGGTGAACTGCACGCCCCGGTTGCGTGCAAGCAGAGGCGCGTAATCACTCGTTTTGCGACGCTCCCATTCCCTTGCCGCCACACCTATTTGACGCCCGCACTGTCCCAGCAGTGATGGAGACAGCGATAGCGGGTCCGCGACGCTGATCTCTAGGGCGTGAGCCTCTCCAGCCATTGGACGTCGCACCGCCACATCAACCCGCTTCCCTTGCAGCACCACACTATCCTCCAATGTCACCACCCCCCCCCGACGCCTTAGAGATCTTCGCCACCGCAAACTTCACCTCATCATGCACACGAGAAGGACCATGCTGGTGCCTGCATCTCAGGGCATGGTGCGGGTCTGCTGGGTCAACATACGCTGTGCCACAAACACACCTCCCCGCCACCTGCAGCTGCTGAATTAGGAGGCCGAGCCGTATAGCAGCAGCAATGCCCCACTCAGCCGCAGTGAATGTGAGATCTGAGTGAGCCGGAACCGCCGAAACCCATGCACCTGCCCCCGGGCCCTGAAGGGATGTGAAACGGGCCAAGGTAGCATCGTCACGAGCCAAGCGGCGCAGTGCCTGGAGCTCCTCTACAGCTAACTGCCGCTGACGCGCCTGGAAAAGCCGAATAGGAGGGGCCGCTACACACAGAGGTAAGCCCGGTATCTCGTGGCGGATAGTCGCTGGCAGCTGCTCGAGAGCCTTGACAAACCACGGGTCAAGAAACTCTGCCCCTGTCGAAGTGGTGAGGTACTCAGCAAACATCGCCTCCTCACCCGCCACCCCTAACTGTGCAATGTCCCGCGCGGCCTGCGCCCACCCGCAAACATAGGACAGTGGGCTCAAAGAGGCCGCCGCCCGGATCCCGAACCCACCGAAACGCACAGGGAGATGCAGCTGCATGCGTGCGCGCCTAGACCGGTCGGGGTCATGCTCCCAAGTGCCAGGTGGGAAAAGCTGCTCAAAGCAATCCTCTAAACAGCTGTCCCAATCCCTAAAAGCCTCAACCACCTCCGGACGCGGCGGCATAGTCCGGGCGAGGTACATCAGCCGCGCTGAAATTGCAGTGGCGAGGAGGTACTCAGTGTTTTTTTGTGTGCTATATTTTCTGGTAACCAGCCTGGCTCGGGAAGTCAACTGTGGGTTCGGTAGGCAAACTGTGCACAGTTTGCCATTTTTTTTTGTTTTGTAATTCAGGTCTTGGGTTTTAAACCCAATATATATATACCGTTTATAAAGACTTATGCATATGTGTGTATGGCCTTCCCAAGCAACAGAAGGTGTATTTGATTTCACAACGCTTGAAAAGGCACGACCAGTTTTTGACAACACATCTGGCAGGGGTGATGCGAAGCGGCTCGTCACGTCACGTCGACATTTGCGCTGCGGAGAATCGCCACACGTCGTGCAGCAGTGGTCCATCAGGCCAACCGACGCACCCACGTGAAAACTTCGCGCTGCTCATCACATTTCGTCCTGCTTCTCACGAACCTGTGGTGGTTGTGAAGTGAAGCTGCGGAAATTTTGTCTGATGCCCTTACTTTATGTTTTCCTACCCGCAGAGTGTCTTGGGTCGTGTTTGAGGAGGTCTCCCTGCCACCAATAACGGCAAAAAGAATTCGCATGACCTGCCCAAGCCAGCAGCTTCCCGAAACTGTTGTTTTCCCACAGTCAGCTGTTGTTTTTTCCACACCTACAGTCAGCGATTTTCCTCCCAAAACGTGTTGGTCAGGTAACATCTCAGGTAAGGGGAAACATCTCTATGACTGTTCTACTGGAAACATGTCAGCAATCACAGTACAGTAAAACGTAGTGCACCTTACCAGTTTGAGAGCTCCTCAAAGCTCAAGTGCTGCCAGCGGTCTCAGTCAACTTTTTTGTAGACGCATGGTTCTTCAAATCGCGCGATAGAAATGTAAACAGGCTGTATTACTAGCGCAGTACGCCGCTGCATAGAGGAAGCGCACTGCATCCCAAAGCACTGGCATTGCACTACCGCACTGATTGTACGCAAAATTGGACGGAAAAAACCGGAAAGAAAAACCACTGGAATCGCAACTTGTGAGGTGACGAACGCGACAGCCAGGATGGGGGAGGCGGATCGCGAGGAGCGGCAGGTAGCGTGGCGGCGATTGGTGGAGCAGGCGATGGAGGGCGGCGAGCTGGACAACGAAAAGTTTCTGGATAAGATGCGGCGACGACTGGACAGGTGAGATTGGCGCCAAGTGAGGATTGTGTGTGTGTGTGTGTGTGTGTTTTTTTTTTTTTTTTTTGATTAATTTATTTACTTATATGCCAGGTGCTCGGGTTTAATGCGTTCTGACATGTCGAGGAGTATGAACCCTTTCATGGTGGAACGCGTTGAGATTACTAACCTCTTGCCTACGAGCACCTAGCACATACCCTACGACGGGGTTACCTCGAGGTCACCAGAAGTAACTTCAATCAAGGATACTGGCAGGGCCCTGTTGTAGAGGACTCTTCTCTACTTTGCAGGAACTGGGAATTGTTCTAAGCAGTAGAGCACTCTGCTAGCTTTTCAACAAGCCGTATATCACCTCGTTCGCCTAAGTATCGAGCGAGATATCGCCGTTTATGTGCTAGGTAGTGCTCTTAGATTGAAGGATAGGAGCTCTCTGGAATTTGAGCTCGAATGTACCTTGTACAAAGAACTCTGAGTTTCACTATGAAACATGCATACAAGGCAAGTCGATTTATAGCAAATGCATTACATCGAACCGCACATGTAACATCGCATCGCTACACTCGCGTCGCGAATGCGCCGCGTGCAACATTTCGGTTGGGGTGAAATTCGGCCACCGAATTTCACACCGAACACACCGAATTCGCTTTGCACTTGAAGGTTGGAATGTGGTGCCGCCACGTGGCACCGAATTGTGAGTCTTCCGAAGTCAATCGGTGCAACCCCACCGATCCCTAGTCAAAGGAATCGAATGCACCGAAGTGCCCTCGGTGGGTTGGGGGCATACAACCGCCCCACCACCGAACTCCCTCCAACACTCCCCCTTGCACCCAACCCACTAGGTGCGCAAGCCAACATGCTCATAGCATGCACGGGGTGAACCTTTAGGGAGTGGTTCCGTGAGGGAATCCGCGTGTTCATTATCACCGTTGGTCGCGAAGCAATATGCCACGCCCTCCTTATCCGTCTTCCCAACGGCTACCGTAGCATAGTCGGCGTACTTGGAGGGAGGACGAACCTCACGACGCTCGCGAGTCAAGGCCAATGGTAGGGAGGAAGGTGTGGAGGTAGTTGCCGCCTCGGTTGGTGACACCTCCTCGACATCATCAACGCTCTCCTCGTTGTTCCCTCCCCCTCCTTCGTCGGCTTCCTTCTCCACTTGAGATGGAACCTCACTCTCTTCAACCTCCTCTCGTGGCGGAAGGATGAAGGTGAGTTGTTGAGTGGGTTTTTCCTTTGACGAGAACTTGTCTTCATCGAAGACCACGTCCCGAGACGTGACAACGCGCTTTTCACCCAAGTCCCACACTCGCCATGCACGCTCGTTTGGCGCCACTCCCAAGAAGATCGCCGCACGAGCTTTCAGCGGCCTTGCCTGGCGGATGCTCACCCCTCAAAGCGTGCGTTCCACTATTGCTCGTCTCAAAAATCAAGGGCCCGTAGTAAAGTTCAACCCTCTCTAACTTCAAGTTGAAAGTTTGCCTTCTCTATTACCCATCCCTCACCTCAACCTCCCAGCGTGGGAGTCTCTTTCCCCGGAGTGGAGGTGCGCTTTGAGGGGGTGGGCGCGTCCGCCAAGGTGCGAGTGGAGGCGAGGGGCCTGCCAAGCCAATCACCCCTTACATTGCTCCCATTCTCTACCCATACCCTCCCTTCCCTCGCAGCGTTGGCGTCTCTTTCCCCGGAGTGGAGGTGCGCTTTGAGGGGGTGAGCGCGTCTGCCAAGGTGCAAGTGGGGAAGAGGGGCCTGCCTACGCTGCCCAACCAGGTCTCGAATACTGTCGGCGCAGTGCTGAGGGAGTTGCGGCTACTCAAGGACCAGCGCCGCCTCTTCTTCGCTCTTGACGGCTGCTCTGGCATCCTCAAGCCTGGCAGGTAAGGGGTTTCTTCAAGCCTTGCTGGTGATGAGGGAGCTGCGGATAGTGGAGGGTCAGTGGCGCCTGTTTCTTTGCGCTTGATGACGGCTCTGAGATCCTCAAGCTGGCAGGTAACTTGATTCCAAGCCTACTAGCTGATTTTGCAGGAGCGCACTTTTGAGTCGACTCAAAAGTCAGCTCAGTGTCATGTCACACGGCGTTTTCTCTACACGAAGAAGCATCATTGCTTGGAGGTTACCAAAAAGAGTAGGCATTTGTTTTTATTTCTGCTCATAAGTGCTAGATTACTGTAGAGTAGTTTTCTACTGTTCCTCTCTAGTTTTCCCTGCCATCCCAGCCCCGCGAAGGAATGCCTCGCGCTGGAGCCCCGGGATTGGTATTTAGGGTGCTTGCTTTCATTCTCGTGCCTTTGTGGTCTGAAGAAGGCTCAAAGCCGAAACTAGTTACCACCATCATTTTTCTACAAAGGTCTTAAGCAAGCCCTACAAACATACATTTTTAACCAAACAAAGCCGCTGCCACGCAACGACATGCCTCCTAAGTGGGGTTCCATTAGCTGGCAGGTAACTTGATTCCAAGCCAACCAGCTATGTTGCGGGAGTGGCGGTTGGTATTCAAGGATAGGCACTGAACACTCTTTGCCCTTGATGGCTGCTTTGGCATTGCCAATAGCCCAAGATGCTGTACATGCCGGCGCCTAGTCAAACCCAGCTCCACCTAATCATACCCATCCCCACCCATTCCCGCCACAGGATGACGCTGCTGCTGGGGCCGCCAGGCAGCGGCAAGCCAACGCTGCTGAAGATCCTCCTTGAGGTGCCCCAACTTGGTCAGCACCTGATCAGCACCTAATCCACCCCACCCCACCCCACCGGCTCGCTCAACCCACAGGATGACGCTGCTGCTGGGGGCCGCCAGGCAGCGGCAAGCCAACGCTGCTGAAGATCCTCCTTGAGGTGCCCCAACTTGGTCAGCACCTGATCAGCACCTAATCCACCCCACCCCACCCCACCCCACCGGCTCGCTCAACCCACAGGTTGACGCTGCTGCTGGGGCCGCCAGGCAGCGGCAAGTCAACGCTGCTGAGGATCCTGGCAGGGAAGGCGGAGAGGGAGCTGGGCGTGCAGGGCGAGGTAACGTACAACGGCCGTCGGGGGAGCCACTTTGTGCTGCCGCGCTCCGTGGCGTTTGTGCCTCAGACGGACTCCCACATCGGCGAGATGACTGTCCGCGAGACCCTCGAGTTCTCGGCTCGCCTGCAGGGGCCGGGTCACAGGTCAGGTGAGATTTGAGGCGTCTCAAAAGGCGGAAGGCCACAGAGCAGGTGGGAATGTGACCTACTGAAATCCCTCCCTCCCCCTCCCTCCCTCCCTCCCTCCCTCCCTCCCTCCCTCCCTCCCTCCCTCCCTCCCTCCCTCCCTCCCTCCCTCCCTCCCTCCCTCCCTCCCTCCCTCCCTCCCTCCCTCCCTCCCTCCCTCCCTCCCTCCTCACCCCCCCCTGCCTGCCTGCCTGCCTGCCTCGTTCCCTCCCTCCCTCGCTTCCTCTGCCCCTCCCCCTTGCAGTCCTTCCCTCCTTCTCTGGTGGTACTCTGAAGCTCAAATGCCCACTCCTCATTCTGATCCCAACTACACTGCCATCTGCTCCGCACTCTTCCTGCTACCTACTTATGATGCTTCCTAAACATTCTGCTCCCTGAATACCGGTCGTTCATTCTTCATTCCCTCCTTCCCCACTCAGACCTGTTTCGGCAGCTGGAGGAGAAAGAGCAGGAGGCAGGAGTCCAGCCCGATGACGTCATGCAAGCCGTTATGAAGGTAGTGATGACGTCATGGGAGTGTTGATTCCACAATGACAACCGTAATAGCTATTTCCGCACAGGTGTTTTGAGTTGGAAATGACTTGATGAATTCTTTGTGCCCCCGTGACACTTGATGTCTCTTTGATGTGCGCTTAGGATTGAAACACCACACTCACCCAATGCGCGGACAAGTTTGAAACACACCACATTACCTCCACCCCATACCATTTTTTCCCCTCATCACCCTCCCTTTGTTATTGTTGCATGCATCATGGTCATCGCCCTTTGCTGCAGGCAATGGCGGATGGGAGGCAGTGCTCCGATGTTGTGGTGCAGTACGTCCTTAAGGTGTGTGTGTGTGTGTGTGTGTGTGTGTGTGTGTGTGTGTGTGTGTAAGTGTGTGTATGTGTGTGTGTGTGCATATGTGTGGATTTGTGTGTGTTCATGTGCGCATGTGTGCGCCACTTTTGTGCACGTGTGTGCATGTGAGTGCATGTATGTGCATGTATGTGCATGCGTGTGCATGCGTGTCCATGTGTGTGCATGCGTGTCCATGTGTGTGCATGCGTGTCCATGTGTGTGCATGCGTGTGCATGTGTGTGCATGTGTGTGAGTGAGTGTGCATGTGGGTCATTTCTATGTTCGCTTTTCCAACCATTTTCACCTGTCATGCAGATGCTAGGCCTGGACGTGTGTGCTGATACCATGGTAGGGGTAAGCAGCCGCCAAGGGATGATATCAGGAGGGCAGAAGCAACAATCCACTCATTAGCCTCATCCGTTCTCTCTTCCACCCATTTTCCTCATAATTGACCTGTCCTGCAGATGCTCGGCCTGGACGTGTGTGCTGATACCATGTTAGGAGACAGCATGCGTAGAGGAGTCTCCGGAGGGCAGAAAAAGCGGGTTACCACCGCCGAAGCACTCCTGGGTGCAAAGCAAGTCCTCCTATTGGACGAGATTTCCACCGGTCTCGATTCCGCCACCACTTACCAGATCACCCGGTGCCTGCGCAACCTCACGCACTTAACTAATACCACCACCCTCATCTCCCTGCTGCAACCCGCGCCTGAAACCTTTGAGCTGTTTGATGACGTCATGTTGATGTCAGAGGGGCGGATTGTGTACCACGGGCCCAGGGAGGAGGTGCTGGGATTCTTCCGGGAAATGGGGTTTGCGCCGCCCCGCCCGCAAGGGAGTGGCTGACTTCCTGCAAGAGGTGAGGTTCCATCCATCACAGTGCCTACAGCAAGTCACAGTTTTTTTTTTCCTCATCTTGATATATCTGGCTGACACAGCCTCTTGGCACTTAATTAAAGCTCATCCAGAAAAATTGCTGACATAAAAAAAAAAAGCCGTGCTATATATTTACTCTATTTTTTTTTCGTCCCCCTTCCTTTACCCCGGCTTCCTGTGCCGTGCTTCCTGGCATCCCCCGTATAGGTCACCTCGCTAAAAGACCAGGAACAGTACTGGGACCCCTCCCAGCCGCACCCATACCGTTACGTGTCCGTCCGAGCCTTTGAGGAGGCCTTCCGAGCCTCCAGGTTCGGCAAGCAGATGGAAGCAGAGCTCTCGATTTCATTCGAGAAGGATCGGGGTGCAGTCAAAGGCGAGAATGAGGGGAAAGACGTGAAAGACAGGGGAGAGAGTGAGGGGAAGGACGTAGAAAACGGAAAAGAGAAGGGAGAGGGAGACAGAGAGGATGGGAGCACGGCTCTTGCTCTTGCACAGAGGCGGTTTGGGCTCTCTCCCCTTGCCATTCTCACCATTGTGGGGGATCGCGAGTGGCTGCTAATGAAGCGGAATGTGTTTCTTTACATCGTGCAGACCATGCAGGTACAGCAGATTCTCGTTACGGTCACAGTGATCAGTGAAATCTGTTCCTTAACATTGTACAGACAATGCTCTGCAGGTATAAGAACAGGTGCTCGTTACACCACTACAGATGCCCCTTACAGTCTCACTGACCGGCATACCCACCCACTTGCTTTGAGGTGATATTTTAGGCGCCTAAACAATCACCTCAAGTGCTTGTCACACCACTGTAGATTCCCCTTACAGTCCCACTGACCGGCCTACCCACCCACTCGTCCTCACCCCCACCCTCACATGATTTATTTGCTGAACTTTCGCCCTTTCTCCCCTCCTATCCTCCCCCAACCCCACCCTCCCCTGCCTATCAGATCCTCCCCCTCGCTATAGTCACAATGTCAGTCTTCTGGCACTCCCAATTCTCCATCACCCCTCTGGACGGCAATTACTACCTGGGCGCCATTTTCTTCGGTATAAGCACGATGCTATTCAGCGGAATAATCGAGCTCACACTACTAACAGCCCGCCTGCCCATCTACTTCCTCCAAAGGGACAACCTGTTGTTCCCCGCCTGGGCCTGGTGTGTGCCCATGGCGCTGCTCTCTCTGCCCATCTCGCTGTGGTCTGCCGGGGTCTGGACCACCATCACCTACTATGGCATCGGCTTCGCTCCGGAGTTTTCCCGGTGAGTGTCCCTTGGGTAGTATGTTCTTCCATGTGTCTCCTGCAACCATTCGTGCTCACACTGCTCTCAGCTGGGGTCTGGACGACCAGCACCTACTATGGCATCTGATTCGCGCCTGAATTCTCCCGGTGAGTGTCTCAGCGAGGCACGCTCCTCCGAGTATCTTTTGTGGATTCATAAGGCTCACAGATATATGGAAACCACTTCTGAGAGTTCTCAAAAGTGATTTCCTGGTGAGTGTCTCAGTGAGGCATGTTCCTCCAGGCTCCAGGTATCCGTCATGGCTGCTCGTGGCTGACATTGGCATCGGATTCGCCCTCCATCCAGTTCTCCCGGTAAGGATGGATGAGAGTGGGTGTCTCGGTTGTGTGCCCTCCCAGTGAGTCGCAAGCACCGCACTGCTGCTCGTGCTGCTCATGCTACTCTCATCTGGAGTCTGGACCTCTATCACCTACAACGCCATCAGATTCGACCCCCAGTTCTCCTGGTGAGTGTCTTAGTGAGGTGCGTCCAGCACATTCCTCCAGGTGCCTTCCATGCATTCGTAATGCTTGCGCTGCTCGCGTTTTTTGAGTCGACTCAAAACACGGATGCATAAGGCTCGCGCTGCTCTCAACTGGAACCTGGGCTGGACGGCCATCACATCACCACCTGCAACGCCATTGGATTCTCTCCCCTAGTGCTCCCAGTAAAGCTGCTTATCATAGTCTGCTTTTGAGTCGACTCAAAAGCAGAACCATCGGATTCGCTCCCCTAGTACTCCCGGTAAAGCTGCTTATCATACTGCCCATGCCCGCAGCTCATAGCCAATGTCGGGAAGGATTTACCTGCCCAGCTCGTCCTTTAGAATTTACCCCGGAGTTTCCTGGTAAGGCTGCTTGAAGACAGTCTTGTTTGTACCGGCACTTGTCTTTTGAGGCTCCTCAAAGGTCGTCACCTGCCCAGCTGGTCCGTTTAGAATGCGCCCCCGAGTTTCCTGGTAAGCCTGCTCAGAGCCAGTCTTTTTTGTACCGGCACTTGCCTTGCCAAAGCTCCGTTCACCCCTCCTCCCTTTTCCCCATGCCACTCTCCCTCACCAGCCCTCACCGCTCCACCTTTTAGCCCTTGTCATTCTCCCTTCTGACTCCTCATATTCCCCCCCTCCCCCCCCTGCAACTTCATCACCCAACTTCTCCTCTTCTTCATCACCCACATGACTGCCTCTGCATCCTACCGAGCCATGGGTGCCATGCTCCGCAGCACCACTCTCATCAATACCGTTAGCAACACCTGAGTCGAATCCAATGTCCCCTCACCCCTCCTCCCGTTTCCCCTTGCCACTCTCCTTTCTGTCTCCTCATCCCCTCCTGCTGCAGCTTCATCACCCAACTTCTCCTCTTCTTCATCACCCACATGACTGCCTCTGCATCCTACCGAGCCATGGGTGCCATGCTCCGCAGCACCACTCTCATCAATACCGTTAGCAACACCTGAGTCGAATCCAATGTCCCCTCACCCCTCCTCCCGTTTCCCCTTGCCACTCTCCTTTCTGTCTCCTCATCCCCTCCTGCTGCAGCTTCATCACCCAACTTATCCTCTTCTTCATCACCCACATGTCTGCCTCTGCTCTCTACCGAGCCATGGGAGCAATATTCCGCAGCACCACGCTCATCAACACGCTTGGCAACTTCATCCTCGTCCTCCTCTTCCTGCTCTCAGGGTTCCTCATCACCAAAGGTGGGTGCTTGTCAGGTACTGAGAGTCAGTCATATGTGCTTGTCAGGTACTGAGAGTCAGTCATATGTGCTTGTCAGGTACTGAGAGTCAGTCATATGTGCTTGTCAGGTACTGAGAGTCAGTCATATGTGCTTGTCAGGTACTGAGACTCAGTCATATGTGCTTGTCAAGTACTGAGAGTCAGTCATATGTGCTTGTCAGGTACTGAGAGTCAGTCATATGTGCTTGTCAGGTACTGAGAGTCAGTCATATGTGCTTGTCAGGTACTGAGAGTCAGTCATATGTGCTTGTCAGGTACTGAGAGTCAGTCATATGTGCTTGTCAGGTACTGAGAGTCAGTCATATGTGCTTGTCAGGTACTGAGAGTCAGTCATATGTCCTCTTGCTACTCGTCCTCCTCTTCCTGCTCTCAGGTTTCATCATCACCAAAGGTGAGTGATGGTCAGGTAGTGGCAGAGTCTTCTTCTGAGTCGACTCAAAAGTCGCTAGGCATCTTCATCCTCGTCCTCCTCTTCCTGCTCTCCAGGTTCATCATCATCACCAAAGGTGTCCTCTTTCTACTCGTCCTCCTCTTCCTGCTCTCAGGTTTCATTATCACCCAAGGTACGTGCTTGTGAGGGTAGAGCAGATAGGAGGTACCTACCTCTATAGGTAACACGCTTGGCAACTTCATCCTCGTCCTCCTCTTCCTGCTCTCCGGGTTCATTATTACCAAAGGTATGTGCTTGTCAGGTACTGACAGTCAGTCACATTTCCTCTTGCTACTCGTCCTCCTCTTCCTGCTCTCTGGGTTCCTTATTACCAAAGGTGTGTTCTTGCGAGGGGAGGGCAGTTGATGAGGGCAGCGCAGTTAGTAGTTGCCTAAAATGTGTAGAGCAGCCACATTTAGTTAAATATAAGTGTTTTGAGACGTCTCAAAACACTTCTTCAAACACGTTAGTAGTTGCTACCATGTGTAGAGCAGCCACATTTAGCTAAATATAAGCGCAGCTAGATATAACCTCGCCCTTCTCTTCCTGATCTTTTGAGGCGCCTCAAAAGCAGCTAGATTTAGCCTCGCCCCCTTCTCTTCCTGCTCTCTGGGTTGAGTTCACCATTGCTCAAGCTCAAAGTATGTGCTTGTGGGAGAATTTACCTGAGGAGGATTGTAACGGACACTCTTCTCCTCCCTGTTTCAAGCGTCTTTCGAGTCGGCTCAAAATTCCCATCACACACACGCATGCTCTTCTCATGCCCATCTCACAGTCACTCTAACACGCCCACATGCCTACATCTACCATCCCATCTGCTATGCCCTACCCCTGCAGCTGAAATTCACAGTGTGTGGGTGTGGGTGTACTGGATCTCGCCCCTCACTCACTGCTCTCTCATCCCATCCCATGTTCTCCTGTTCGTGGGCCCCTTTTGCCCTTTTGCAGACAACATCCATGATGTGTGGGTGTGGGTGTATTGGATCTCGCCCCTCACGTACCACTGCCCTCGTATCATCTCATCTCATCCCATCCTCAATCGACCCTCATGCTCACATCCTTCTTCGCCTGTTCCGTGCCCTCCCCCCCTGCAGCTGACATACACAGCGTGTGGGTGTGGGTGTGGGTGTGGGTGTGGGTGTGGGTGTGGGTGTGGGTGTATTGGACCTCGCCCCTCACCTAATGCTCTCCCATCCCATTCCATGTTCGCCTGTTCCATGCCCCCCCTTTGTCCCTCCAGACGATATCCACACCGTGTGGGTGTGGGTGTACTGGATCTCGCCCCTCACGTACTGCCAGAACGCCTTCTCTGCTAATGAGTTCCTCGCCCCCAGATGGGATGTGGTACGTGCGGTGCTGTGCTGTGCGGTGCTGTGCTGTGCTGTGCTGTGCTGTGCTGTGCTGTGCTGTGCTGTGCTATGCTGTGTTGTGCTGTGCTTTGCTGTGCTGTGCTGTGCGGTGCTTTGCTGTGCGGTGCTGTGCTGTGCGGTGCTGTGCGGTGCTGTGCTGTGCTGTGCTGTGTTGTGCTGTGCTTTGCTGTGCTATGCCGTGCTGTAGGCTGGTGCTGCTCTCTACCAGCCCCCTCCTCAAACCAACAAAACACCCAACCATGCAGTTCCTCTGAACCGTTTCTCATCTCTCTCGTCTCTCTCGTCTCTCTCTTCCCTCTGCTCCCCCTCGCACCCTCCGCCCCAGCCCTCCGACCCCCCATCGCTGAACACAGCAATGGGCATTCAGGTGCTCACAGCTCGCAACCTCTGGACGGAGGGCTATTGGGTGTGGGCTGGTGCGGCAGTTGGTGTCGCCTTCACTCTCCTCTGCATTCTGCTCACCATCGTTGCACTGGAGTATCTCAACCGTAAGCATTGCACTTCAATGCCTCAACCTCTGGACGGAGGGCTACTGGTGTGGGGTGGCGCCTGCTGCAGTTGGTGGCGCCTTCACTCTCCTCTGCATCCTGCGCCCTTGCATTCGAGTAACTCAACCACCCGTGCACTAAGTGACTCAACACTAAGTACCTTAACCGTAAGCTGTGCCCAAAGTACCTCTGCATTAAGTACCTTAACTGTACACCGTGCACTAAGTACCTAAAACGTGCACTAAGCACCCTAAACTTTGAGCCATGCACTAAGCACCTCAACAGTACACAAACGTATCAAAAACCTTAAGCAGTTGCACACACTTGATTCCCTCTCAAGCATAATCTGCGCACTTAACTAAGTACCAAAACAGCAAATACTGCAACCGTAAGCTGTTTCACTCATGCACTCTTGCTCTAACTCTCTCTCAATTCTCCCCTCACCCATCACAACCCGCTCCTTCCCCCAACTTAACCCAAAACCCAGCCAAGAATCTCCCCAGAATCAACTAGACTCCTTGCTCACCCCTCCCATGCCCTCCTACCATTCCCCCCTCTTCCCTCTTCCCCCCTCACTCCCCATCCTGGCCCAGGGCGCAGCCAGTGATCCCCCCCCAAACTTCTCCCCCTTTCCTTCCCCCAGCGTGGCCCAGGGCGCAGCCAGTGATCCCCCCCAAATTCTCCCCCTTTCCTTCCCCCAGCGTGGGCCCAGGGCGCAGCCAGTGATCTCCCCAGCATCAACTAGACGCCCGTGGGAAGCATCGCTAGCCGGCACCAATTTGGAATGTTGCCTCACGCTACTCCTCCCTGTGCTCCCTCAAGCGAATTCACCCCTCGATTCCTCATTCTCCGTCTCCAACCACCCCCCTGCTCTTCCCCTTTTCCCCCTCCTTCCCCCCCCTCTCTCTCCTCTTCCCCCCAGCATGGCCAAAGGGCCCCGCCAGTGATCTCCCAGCATCAGCTAGATGCCCGGGAAGCATCTCTAGCCGGCACCAATCTGGACTTCGCCTCACGCTACCTCCTTCCTCCCTCCCGCGCCCGCACGCTCCTCCCATCACCGGCTCCACTGCCACGGCGCGCTTCTCGCCAGCAACCGCTTCCGCTCCCCAAGAGCCTCGCCAGGCCTTCCGGCTTCTGCCCGCTCGCTCGGATTTTTTTCTTCGGGCAGGACCGGCGCTTCGCTCCCGAGGTTTGGGGTCGTGGATGCTGAAGGAGAGGATGGGGAAGGGGCGTATGGTAGCCGTAGGAATGGTAGGAGAAGCCGTATTAGGGTCGTTCTGGGTTTTGTGGTGTTTCTCCTGGTGGTGGTGGTGGTGCTGGTGGTGGTGCTGGTGCTGGTGCTGTGTGCTGCTGTTGGTGCTGCGGGAAAGTTGGGTGAGAGTACGGGAGTCAGTGCAATCAGCAGCACAGGCGGAAGGGGTAAGAAGCAGCGGCAGAGGAAAGCGGATTCGTTTATGAGTGACGGTGGGGTGGGGAGTGAGTTAGCAGCACAGGAGGAGAGGAGAAGCATCGGCAGTAGGAAAGCAGTTTCGTACATGAGTGATGGGGGTGTGAGTGATGGTGGTGCGGTGAGTGCAGTTAGTATCACAGGAGGAGAGCAGAAGCAGCGGCAGCGGTAAAGCAGTTTCGTTTTTGAGCGATGGGGACGCGAAGTGACGGCGGTGGGGTGTGTGAGCGCAGTTAGCAGCCCTGGCGGAGGAGAGAAACAGCGGCAGAGGAAAGCGGTTTCGTTCTTGAGTGATGGGGACGCGAGTGATAGTGGGGTGGTGACTGCAGGTAGCGGCACAGGAGGAGGAGGAGGGGAGGAGAAGCAGCGGCAGAGGAAACCAGTTTCATACATGAGCGACGGTTGGGGTGGTGAGTGCAGTTAGCAGCCCAGGAGGAGAGGTTGGAAGAGGAGAAGCGAAGCAAGCGGCAGAGGACAGCAGTTTCGTTCTTGAGTGATGGGGATGCGAGGTGAGGGTGCAGGGGGCATGACTGCGAGTGGAGGGGGATATAGGCCAGCACGGCATGGTCCTCCCCCTTTGATCCGCTCACCCTCTCCTTCCACAACGTCAACTACTATGTCGATATGCCTGCGGAGCTAAAAGACAAAGCCGCCGCCGCCGCGCTGGCGAGCTGCAGCTGCTGCGCAATGTGTCGGCGTGTTTCGTCCGGAGTGCTGACCGCCCTGATGGGGGTGTCTGGGGCAGGGAAGACCACGCTAATGGACGTGCTGGCAGGGAGGAAGACCGGGGGATACATTGAAGGGGATATCCGCGTGTCTGGTTACCCGAAAGTGCAGGAGACGTTTCTGAGGGTGTCGGGGGTATTGTGAGCAGGTGGATATTCATACGCCCCAGGTGACCGTGCATGAGTCTCTCCTCTACTCCGCCTGGATGCGCCTGCCTGAGGAGATCGACCGCGATGTCATCCTGGTGAGTCAATGATAGTGGTGAGTGGAGAGGTGTTTACTGGTGAATAGAGGCGTGACCGTGCATGAGTCTCTCCTCTACCCGCCTGGCTTCGCCTGCCTGAGGAGATCGACCGCGATGTCATCCTGGTGAGTGCATGGGCGGGCGGGATAGAGACGTGCTCATGGTGAGTCAATGGTAGTGGTAATGGTGATGGTGATGGTGATGGTGATGGTGATGGTAATGGTGATGGTGATGGTGATGATGGTGATGGTAATGGTAATGGTATGGTAATGGTAAATGGTATGGTAATGATAATGGTAATGGTGAGTGGATGGATGTTTTTTAAGTCTCTGCTCTTCTCCGCTCCTGGCTAGCGCGCAAGAGGAGATCGACAGGGATGTTATGATGGTGAGTGGAGAGGGGTGTGGTTGTGTTGAGTGGAGGGGTGTGGTTGTGGTGGATGGATGGGATGTGTGGGGGGATGTAATCATGGTGAGTGGAGGGATGTGGTAAAGATGGTTGGAGGCGTGTAACTGTGCTGAGTGAGTGGGTAGGCAGTTCCTTTCGCCCATACCATTCCCCCATATCCTCATGTCTCCGTCCGCAACAGGAATTCGTATCTCTTTTGAAATTTCCGAAAAAAAAGGG